TCTCCCTACATCTAGGGTTCATCTGTTATAAATATAAAATATTTTTTAATATATTTTATTGATTTTTTACAGAGAAGAAGGGAGAGGGATAGAGAGTTAGAAACATCGATGAGAGAGAAACATCGATCAGCTGCCTCTTGCACACGCCCCACTGGGTATGTGCCCACAACCAAGGTACATGCCCTTGACCGGAATTGAACCTGGGACCCTTGCATCCGCAGGCCGATGCTCTATCCACTGAGCCAAACTGGTTAGGGCATAAAATAATTTTTATGCAAAGGGAAATCTAACTCTTGCTTTTTATTTAGATCCTATAGAGTGTGTTGTTGTTGTGTGTGTTTTTCCTAAAGGAGCAATATATATCATACTGCCTCATAGAGTATTCTCACTCCAGAAGCTGCATATTTATGAGTAAGAATATAGCAGATAGAAATGATGTATTTTCAAACATAGATTTTCATTTGATTTCGTAACATTTAAAATTCCTGAATTTTAGTTTTAAAAGTGAATGAGGGTTTTTTTTTTAAATAAATATAAGCAGAAGGTAAGCCACAATGATCACAGCAAAGAAGATAATTCCTTTTAAGCATCTGTGACTAATTCTTAGATTTTTTTTGTTTTGATTAGTTTTGAATGATATTTTACAAAGTTTGAGAGCTACTCACAAAATTTTTAAATTTTACTTTCAAGAACTTTCACAGGCCTTCAAAGCTATCTGATTGCAAGCGGCATATTCAAACAACTGGGTTTTATTACTTTGTTGTTCTTTCATTCAGTCATTGTTATTGATGTTTTAGTCTCTGAAATGTTATGCCATGCCCTATGTTTTTACTTTCATAAATGAAACATGGTCCTTTACCTCAAGAAGGTTAGATCATAGCAGCTTAGATTATATGGGTTTACACAGCCCCATTTAGTCATCAGCCATTATAATGAGGTCAAGTTTAAACTTAAATAAGTTTTAAAGTCCTATATGGTTATTCAGTAAAGATTCCTGCTCAGCCAGCATGGCTCAGTGGTTGAGCATCAACCTATGAACCAGGAGGTCATGGTTCGATTCCCGGTCATGGCACATGCTCAGGTTGAGGGCTCAATCCCATAGTGTGGGGTGTGCAGGAGGCAGTCGATCAATGATTCTCTCTCATCATTGATGTTTCTATCTCTCTCTCCCTCTCCCTTACTCTTTGAAATCAATAAAATGTATTTTTTAAAAAGACAAGATTCCAAGTACAGAGAGACATGGACTATTTAATAATAACATTGTTAATTACAGTTATTAAACTGTGGTTAAATGGCAAGTACTAGCTAAGTACTTTGAATATATTTTATTTAAGTCTAACAATTATATGTGGTAGATATGTTAATTATCTATATTTTACTGATGGAAAAATAGAGGATCAGAAAGCCTCAGTAACTGTTCCAAAATTATACAAATAGTAGTAGTGAACCAATATTTGAATCTAGTCATTTGTATACAGTTTGTTATAACTTACTTTAATATATTGATTCAAAGGCCTCACCTGACAACTATAATTAGAAAATCACAGAATAACAGTTGAAAGAGTAAGCTGAATGTTGTACTATTTTGAAAACAGAAAATTTATTCAACTACTAATATATCCCAAGTAGATTAAAATTTTGGCTTGTACATTTTACTGGGTGTGTAAAGGATTCTCTCTCTGAATTTTAGTTTTTCTATATATGAAATGCTTATAATAGCACCCTTCTTTAATTTTTGATGGTGTGCGTGTGTGTGTGTGTGTGTGTGTGTGTGTGTGTGTGTGTGTGTGTATTAAATAATATAGTACATAACAGTTGGTGAAAAACTGCTTTAGGCATTCTGATCCTTTCATGAATGTATCCTTACACCTCTACCCTCTACCTGCTCACAATGCAGCATCAAATGGAATAATGTCTGTCAGGGAAGACAGCCTCTATGCCCTTACAAAAACACTACAGACGGCCTCAATCTTAATTAATTTTTGCCTGTGCATGATAAAGTGACTACATACTATACCTGAAAAACTCAGGGGCGGCCTAAATAGTGGACCCTGGAAACTCAGAACTGGAAAGTAACCACATAGGATTGTCTGAACATAAATTTCCTAACTAAAAGTGAGTCATGGTGGATAGTCAATCACTTCCTAGGCCTGTAGCTTCCTTGACAAAGGTCAATCTTTACCTTAAGCGAGCCTATCTATTATCTTTTTGTATCTAATATAACATACCATTGGGATATGAGTGTAATTCTGCCAGGGCTGGCCAGCAGACCCTGAGTGACGGATGAATGGATTACTCTGACACATTTGCTGTGAAAGAGAGGCTAAGGGATGGCCTGGCTAATGGAGCCAGACAGCCCTGATTGCCTGCCTCATTAGGCTTTTATTGTCACAGCACTTTGAGATGTTTGAGATAAACTTTATCTTTTAGATACAATCAGTAGGGTAAGTAATATTGGGAGGACACATGTGTTTTTAATGTCCTTTAAGCAAGGACACCCAAAATATTAAGCAAAAGGATTCCAGTAAACACCCAGGGGTCTGTACATGCACAGACTTGTTTGGGAAGGTCAAGGAATAATAGGGGTGCTGCCTTAGAAAATGCCCTAAGTCACCCCTAAGTCGGAATTCCGATAAACAGGGCAGGCGGCCTTCCACACACTTCCCTTTTCTCAGAATAGCCTCCTTACAAGCTTTTCAACCAAGTCTTGTGCTTCCCCACATAATTCCCTTTTCCTGGACCCCTCAGGGTATGCCTACCACACCAGAGCACAAGACCACAGAATCTCTGATTGTTATCCTGTTCCCAAAATACCACCTTTATGTGCTATAAATGTTAACTGTCCTATATCCACCAGTGTAAAAGAAGTATGTGTCTCTCTATTTTACTCTTTATCCAATCTCAGAGATTTCCCCACTTTGCTTTCTCCCACTTTCTTAATGTACCACAGATGGATTTCATGTAACACCCCTTATGTCTCCTCCTTTGATTGTAATGTATAAAATAAGCTGCAAAATTGCTATACTCTGAAGCATTTTCTCAATCCATTGAGATTTTGCTTCCTGGCAATTGTCATCAATTTGGCTCAAATACACTCATAAAAATTCTCTATAGGTTTGGGCTTTTCTTATGTCCATCCCCAACTAATAAATATTTTGAATGTCACACTGAATATATATGTAAGGAACCCAATGCAGAATCAGAATCAGAGTGGATAGTTAATAAATCTTGGTTACTATGGCATTATTGTGAAGTATTAGTCTCTAAGTTTTATAGAGACTAATTTTCAGAAAGATTAATCAGTTATTTCCAAACTGACATAGCTTATGAGGGACAGCCCTAAGATTTGAACCCATGACTATCTGATACCAAAGGGTGTTCTTTTCCACCATACCATAAGGTTCTTGACTTAACAACAACAAAAGAACTTCACATAGAATAAAGACAAACCATAGTATTTGAAACCTCCCAATAATCTTACATTTTAATTATTCCTGTGTGTTTATCAACTAAAACAAACTGCGTATAGCATGCAGCTTTTTGAAAATATCTGTAGAGAACAATTAGTACTAGTTCTTCAAAAGTAAAATTTTGTCATATATTTATCACAAGTTCTTGTGTTTTGTTTTGTTTTGTTTTGTTTGTTTTTTCTGTACTGGTTGTCTACATAGTTGGAAGTGACAATAAAATTGAGGCAGGTATGAAAATTATTCAGAAATAAACAAAGTCATTGGGGACCTCAATGTGTGCCTGAAAAGGTTTTATATGTCCCTTTATTCTGTTGTACCATTATAATAAAAATATATTTTTTAAATCAGAAAATAAATTAAACTTTTGAATGAATATGTTTCATTTTAAAGGACTGATATAATAAAATAGTTTGTGCTCTGTTTACAAATTGTCTATGGAAAAATCATTACATTTTGCATGGCTTCTATGCATTAAAATGTTTCTCCCTAATTATTTGCTAAAATTTATGTTGTCATTCATTTGGCCTTTTTCCCCCCTTAACTATTTTTATCAACCCTTCCTCCCTTTATCATTTCCTTTGCACTCAACCACACAAATGTCACCAGGCGATCTAAGTAAAATAGACCTAAAAATAGATTAATCCATCAACTTTAAGTCAGCTTTACAAATTCTCTTAAATAAGTGTTATTATTATTATTATCAGCTTATTTTGAAATCTAATTTGCTTATCACAAAATTCATCCCTTTAATGTGTAAAAGTCACTTTTAGTTTTTCAGTATATTCATTTTTTTTAAATTTAAATTCTTTATTGTTTAAAGTATTACATATGTCTCCTTTTTCCCCCATTGTCTTCTCCCCAGCCTCCTCTACCCCCCAGCACATGCCCTCATCCCTCTTTAGTCTGTGTCCATTGGTTATGATTATATGCATGCATACAAGTCCTTTGGTTGATCTCTTACCACGCCTCCCCAACCCTCCCCTGCCATTCCTCTGAGGTTTGATAGTCTTTTCAATGCTTCTATGTCTCTGAATCTATTTTTGTTAATTAGTTTATTTTGTTCATTATATTCCACAAATGATTGAGATCATGTGATATTTATCTTTCTCTGACTGGCTGATTTCACTTAGCATAATGTTCTCCAGGTCCATCCATGCTGTTGAGAATGGTAAGAGTTCTTTCTTTTTTTATAGCAGCATAGTATTCCATTCTGTATGTGTATCACTCGTTTTTAATCCACTCATCTGCTGATGGGCACTTAGGCAGTTTCCAAATCTTACCTATTGTAAATTGTGCTGCTATGAACATAGGGGTGCATATATCCTTTCTGATTGGTATATCTGGTTTCTTGGGATATACTCCTAGAAGTGGGATTACTGGGTCAAATGGGAGTATAATTTTTAATTTTATGAGGAAAATCCATACTGTTTTCCACAGTGCACCAGAGTTAATTTTTCTCTATAATCTCACCAGCACTTGCAGATTGTTCATTTGTTGATAATAACCATTCTGATAGGTATGAGATGGTACCTCATTGTCATTTTGATTTGGATCTCTTGGATGATAAGTGACGTTGAGCATGTTTTCATATGTCCCTTGGCCTTCTGTATGTCTACTTTTGAAAATTATTTATTTAGTTCCTTTGACCATTTTTTTTATTGGATTGTTTAACTTGTTTCTGTTAAGTTGTATAAGTTCTCTATAAATTTTGGAGATTAAACCCTTATCAGATGTCACATTGGCAAATATGTTCTCCATGCAGGGGGCTCTCCTGTTATTTTGTTGATGACTTCTTTTGCTGTGCAGAAACTTTTTATTTTGATGTAGTCCCATTTGTTTAATTTCCCTTTAGTTTCCACTGCTCTAGGAGTGGTATCGGTAAAGTATTTGCTTCGGGATATGTCTGAGATTTTGCTGCCTTTGGATTCCTTTAATATTTTTATGGTTTACTGACTTACATTTAAGTCCTTTATCCATTTTGAGTTTATTTTTGTGTATGGTGTAAGTTGGTGGTCTAGTTTTATTTTTTGTATGTACCTATCCAATTTTCCCAACACCATTTATTGAAGAGACTGTCTCACCTCCATTATATGCTTTTGCTTCCTTTGTCAAATATTAATTGAGCTTAATGACTTGGGTTGATTTCTGGGTTCTCTGTTCTAATCCATTGGTCTATATGTCTGTTCTTGTGCCAATACCAGGCAGTTCTGAGAACAGTGGCTTTGTAATACAGCTTGATATCTGGTGTTGTGATCCCTCCAACATTGTTCTTCTTTCTCAAGATTGCTGCAGCTATTCGAAGTCTTTTTGTTTTCTTCCAGATGAATTTTTGGAGAGTTTGTTCTAGATCTGTGAAATATGCCATTGGTATTTTAATAGGGATTGTATTAAATCTATAGATTGCTTTGAGTAGTGTGGACATTTTAATGAAGTTGATTCTACCAATCCATGAGCATGGTATATTCTACCATTTGTTTATGTCTTCCTCTATCTCTTTTTTTCAATATCCTTTAGCTTTCTGAATACAGGTCTTTTACCTCCTTAGTTAAGTTTATTCCTAGGTATCTTATTTTTTGTTGTCGTTGTTGCAATGGTAGATGGGATTGTTTTTTTAGTTTCTCTTTCTGTGAGCTCATTATTGATGTATAAAACAGTCTTAGATTTCTGGGTGTTTATTTTGTATCCTGCTACATTGCCAAATTCATTAAGTCTAGTAGTTTTTTGATGGAGTCTTTAAAGTTTTCTGTGCACAATATTATGTCATATGCAAATAATGACAATTTACGTCTTCTTTTCTAATTTGGATGCCTCTTATTTCTTCTTCTTTTCTGATCGCTATGGCTAGCACTTCCAAGTATTACTTCGAACAGGAGTGGTGAAAATGTGCATCGCTGTCTTGTTCTTGTTCTTAGGGGAAATTGTTTTAGTTTTTGCCCATTGAGTATGATGTTGGCGATAGGTTGCTCATATTAGGCTTTAAATATGTTAGGTTTGTCATATAAGGCTTTTATTATGTTGAGGTATTCTTACTTTGCTGAGAATTTTTATCAAGAAAGGGTATTGGGTTTTGTCAAATGCCTTTTTGGCATCAATTGATTTGATTATGTGCTTTTTTTAAAAAAATATATTTTATTGATTTTTTACAGGGAGGAAGGGAGAGAGATACATAGTTAGAAACATCAATCAGCTGCAGCTGCCTCCTGCACATCTCCCACTGGGGATGTGCCCGCAACCCAGGTACATGCCCTTGACCGGAATCGAACCTGGGACCTTTCAGTCCGCAGGCCGAAGCTCTATCCACTGAGCCAAACCGGTTTCGGCGATTATGTGCTTTTTGCCTCTCAATTTTTTCATGTGATGTATCATGTTTTTTGATTTGCATATATTGTACCAACCTTGCATCTTCAGGATAAATCCCACTTGGTCATGGTGCATGATCTTTCTAATGTAATGCTGGATTTGATTTGCTAGAATTTTGTTGCAATATTTTAGCATCTATGTTTATCAGGAATGTTGGCCTGTAGTTCTCTTTCTTTGTAGTGTTTTTATCTGGTTTTGGGATTAGGGTAATGCTGGCTTCATAGAAAGAGCTTGGAAGTGTGCCTTCCTCTTGAATTTTTTGGAATAGTCTGAGGAGGATAGGTTTCAGTTCTTCTTTGAATGTTTGGTAATACTCCCCTGTGAAGCCATCTGGACCTAGGCTTTTGTTTGCTGCAAGTTTTTTTTGGTGTGTGATTTTTGCTTCAATTTTCTCCTTAGTTATCAGCCTATTCAGATTATTTATTATTCCTGATTGAGTTTTGGAAGGTCGTATTTTTCTAGGAATATGTCCATTTCATCTAGGTTGTCCAGTTTGTTGGAATAGAGTTGTTCATAGTATTTTTTTACAACCATTTGTATTTCTGTGGGGTCAGTTGTTACTTCACCTCTTTTATTTCTGATTTTGTTTCTTTAAGTCCTTTATCTTTGATTCTTAGTGAGCCTGGCTAGAGGTTCATCAATCTTGTTTATCGTTTCAAAGAACCAGCTCTTGGATTTATTGATCTTTTGTATTGTGTTTTTTTTTTCCACTCTGATCTTTATTATTTCCTTCCTTTTGCTTACTCTGGGCTTTTTTGTTGTTGTTCTTGCTGTTGCTCTCTTTCTAATTCTTTAAATTGTAAGGTAAGAAAATTTATTGCCAGCTATTATTTCCTTCCTTTTGCTTACTCTGGGCTTTTTTGTTGTTGTTCTTGCTGTTGCTCTCTTTCTAATTCTTTAAATTGTAAGGTAAGAAAATTTATTGCCAGCTTTTCTTGTTTTTTGAGGTAGGCCTGTAGTGCTATGAACTTCCTTCTCAGGACTGCTTTCATTGTGTCCCATAAATTTTGGATTGTTGTAATTTCATTGTCATTTGTTTCCAGGATTTTTTTAAAGTATTTTTTTAATTAAATCTTTATTGTTCAGATTATTACAGTTGTTCCTCTTTTTCCCCCCATAGCTCCCCTCCACCCAGTTCCCACGCCACCTTCTGCCCTTACCCCTGCCACTGTCCTCATCCATAGGTGTATGATGTTTGTCCAGTCTCTTCCCGCACCCCCCACACCCCTTCACCCCTGAGAATTGTCAGTCCACTCACTTTCTGTGTCCCTGATTCTATTATATTCACCAGTTTATTCTGTTCTTCAGATTTTTTATTCACTTGATTTTTAGATTCACTTGTTGATAGATATGTATTTGTTGTCACTTTGTTGTTTATAATTTTTATCTT